ACCAAAAGCAAAAACCAGCCATTGACCCTGAGCAGAAAGTTGGCCACTCTCTGTGAGCCTCAACTTCTGTTCCACAGTGTGAAAGAATGATGAGACGTACATAACAGCACAGAGCGGGGTGACATGAACAGGAAGAAGCAACTACATGTCTAGGAACTGAAATCTCAGAAGGAAGCAAATGCGGTCTCTCCAGGGTCCCTACCAAACTTCTAAAGGGGTTTTAGTTTCCAAACTCCCAGGAATAAGCCATGGAATAGCCATTTATAGAGTGTCCACAGTCCCTCACACCCTGGGCCTCAAACAACTGGACAGACAATGGCAGGGACAAGGCCAGCAGATTACATCACTAAGTGGGTAACCACTGCAAAGCCCAAACCCAGCAGGCAGAGCCTTGGCAATCTCCGGACAGAACTTATCTCAACAAAACCTATTATCTTTAATGTAATTCTTCGGAAAAACACAAGGGAAGGTAGCCAAAGAGACAATTCCAGAACTAGCTTCTGGATCCCTTAGTTGGAACAGGTAGGGTGAAGGACCAAGAGCAGGGAGAAAACACGTACACTAAAAATGACAAGAACCTAAGGACTTGTTTCCTTTCAGAGTCCTTCAAGCAAAGCCTCAAGAGCCAGCCATGAATTCTTCACAAAGGCTCACGAGATCAAGACTGTGCAGGAGTCAGCCCTGCTCTGTCTCACCAGGGCCACAGAACCTGGAGAAGGCAGATGCAGGAGGCATCAGGTAGTCTTTTTTCAGAGTCAAGGTCCGGCTAGGGTAGTGGTTCTCAACCTGTGGGCCACAACCCTTTTGGCAAACCTCTAGCTCCAAAAATGTTTACACTGTGATTCATAACAGTAGCAAAATTACAGTTATGAAGTAACAATGAAAATAATTTTATGGCTGGGAGTCACCACAACACAAGGAACTGTTAAAGGGTCATAGCATTAGGAAAGTTGTCAATCACTGCTCTAGGGTCTCAGAGAATCTCCCTCCCTAGACACTAATCTAACCCAGGAAAACCAAACAAAACCAAGAGGTGGTGGGTCTCCCAGAATCCACTGAACCTTCCTGGCTCAGCTCCAGCAGGAGAGGGAACAGGGTGAAGGCACCATGCCCAGCATAAGGACCTTCAAGGGCTATGAGCAGGAAACACAAACCAGGCCAGCCCTGCCTGTGACCATAGCTAGCTTGGGTAGCTAGCCACTCATTAACATGAAGACTTGGTCCCATGTCGGATACACAACCCTAGCACTTAAAACTCCTCTAGTGCCAGGTCTAGCCTTCTGGGGATAATCTAACCACAGGTTATCCCCTGTAACAGAGACACGCAGGGAAGGAGGAGGGCAATGCATGGAAACCTCTCCAACTCAGAGAAGAAGGCCTGATGCATCAGCCTACTACTGAGTTGAGTCTCAACGGCTGACAAGTGGACAGCTGGTCAAGGCACTCATGGAACAATCACCCAGCATATGATAAGGCGGCCCAGGCACCACCATTATGAAAGCATGAAGATCATACAGGCCACCTCCATGGGGACAGCGCAGATGTAGAGCCAGAGCCTCAGGACCACAGATGGGTGCAGGGGCAGGGCAGGTATTCATACTTTTCTGGACAGACCTTCAGAGTAGTATCCCCAACTACCTACAAATGGGGCTTGCAAAATCTGCAAAGTTACAGCCTGGTGATGGCAGAACAAAGACACACCTAGCCTGATGGGTTCCAGAGTTCCAGAGCTTAGCTACCAGGCTCTGTCCTCCAAGAGTACAAATACTGTGTCATAGCAAACAAAATAATTGAAAGAAGCACCAGGGAGAGGCTGACCCCTCACTGTGACAGTCTGGGTTGGTTCCTGCTAGCACTGGTAGGCAGGTAATGGGAGCAGCATCAACTCAGCATGAGGGGACATGACAGTGGCCAGCCAGCACTGCTGGGTACTTCCACTCCTATCTACATTCTTTCTCTCTACCTCTCACAGCCTCATACTTCAGGGTCTAGAGGCATTGAGCTGGGTATCAGTTCACACAACAGAGGTGAAGGAGAGCCTGGTCCATCCTGCCCTCTCTCGGGACTGGACAGGGTCTGAAGTAGCAACAGGCTGAGTGGGCAGAGCTGAACCCTGCCCTCAGCGAGGACACAGGGTATGCACAGCAGGGCCATCTCCAGCTCAACACCCCACCCCACTCAAGGTCCCAGCCCAGCATCCACTCCTATTTCCCATAAGCATATGCTGAGACACGGCCAGAGAGACAAGGCCAGAGCCCCTGGTGAAGCCCTTCCACCCCCACACTCAGCAGGCACCGCAAGGTCAGAGCTGCCTCCTCAGAACTGCTGACAATGACAAGGGGGACCCTTCTTCAGAAACGGCTTGACCACACAGTGGACCGATCAAATGATGTAAGCTAATCCAGATTTATGTGCCTTACATCATGCATTCTACCACAGCAAGTTAAAATCAAAATGAAATTACATGATATTATATGTGGAACACTCGGGGCTGTGCTGTTGAACAAAGTGTGGGTTTGGTTAGAGTTTTCCCAACTTTTTCTCTGTATGGCTATTCCTGGTCGTTTTCATGTGCGCGCGTGCATGTGTGTATGCATGTGTGCGTGTATGTGTGTGTCTCTCTCTGTGTGTGTGTGTGTGTGTGTGTGTGTGTTTTCCAGAACTCTCCAGAACCTAGGCCATCATCTCCTCCTGCTGCCAGTGTGCTGTGGCAAACTCAACTCAGTAAAGTTGAGTTTTCCAGGGACAAGACCAGGAGAGAGTCCCAAATAGACTGATGAGACTGAGAAGGCACTCCTAAACAGAACAGGACACCGCCAAGGCACTATCTATATACTCAAACCAAGGGAAGCACAGCTCTGTATGTGCATGATATTGCATAAAACAGTCTGTATCTTTCCTGAAGCCAGGACCTCCATGTATCACACAGAGACCCTGCTACACACTACCTGGCCTGGACAGCTCTCTGGAACCTTGGAGCAAGCCTCTATGACCCTTTTGTTCTTGCATCTTGCATGCTTGACAAACCTATAAAATCGCATGCATGGTGCAAAGCTCTGCTGACAGCTAGACTGTGTCTGCCCCCCACCCCACCCCACCCCATTATGCAGAGCTGAAGTGGGCTCTTGATGCTCTTATAGCCAAAAGAAGCCTCTAAAAACTGTGCCCACATAGAAACAGACTCTCAAAAGGAGACTCCCAGGACATAAGAGCCCAGCAGCTCCCAGAAGCCCCAGTCCTGAGCACAACTGGCTCTGAACACCACTTCACAGAGGAGCCCCTTGAGGACCAGACCTCTCAGCACTTACAACTGCAACGCTTGCTCTCCTATTCACATCCTGGACTTATAGGCTGGTTCCTCAGACACCCAGTCCCAGAGGATGGTCCTCAGAGCAATCAGACAATGCCCGTCTCTGCCTCTTCCTAGCAGCAGGCAGAGGCAGCTGGCTCAGAGGCCACAGCAGCTGTGAGGGGAAGGGCAGACAGCACAGGGGCTTTGGGAGACAAACTACATTACAGGTCTACACTTCAACTTTCAGTCCCCCAACCAAAGGGAGTCATGATCCTACCTAAAAGGAGTAGCAGAGAACTGGAGGCATGACTCAGAGGGTAAGGCACTTAGCTAACATGAATGAAGCGCTCAGCTTGATTCCCACCACTGCATGAACCAGCAGCAATGAACACTGTAACCCCAGCACCCAGGAGGTAGAAGCAGGAAGATCAGACATTCAAGACCACCATCAGCTACATAAGGCAGATCTCTGAGTGGTGGGGGAGGGGGGAAGAATGACGACAACAAATAAGTTACCAATATTTTTGGTGGCACCTAACCTTGTCACTCTGTACCCATGTTGACCAGAAAGCCACCACTGAGTCACAGCCTCCAGGGCCTTTGAAGCTGCATGGCCTCAGGCCCCTCACCAGGGATGCCGAGCACACTCTGCTTTCTTGTCATCGCCTTGATTCAGACTTGGGTGGTTCCCCTGACTAACAGAGGGAGGATCCACCCTCCTGACCCACCCTATCACACAAACCTGGCTTTGGCACAGTCCCATCTGTGACAAAGGGTTGGCTGATGGCCAGCCTGTGCTGCCCACATGGCCCAGTGCAACCATGTGTCAAGCCCACACAAAAAGCCTACTCACCTTCCCGAAGTCTCGGACATCAAAGAGGTCAAAGGGGTCAAACAGCTCACTGTTCCTTAGTCCGAATTTGTCATGGCAGACTTTGAGGAAGGTTCGAATGTTCTTCAGACACAGAAACTAGAGAGAGAAAGAAGCATCAGCAAGGGGACAGAACCACAGAAAACACCAGTCACATTACACTTGGTTTTAAACTCTTTTTTTATTTGGGGTTCCTTAAAGCCTCTCCCTTCCAATCCCCAACCCTACGTAGGAAAGAGAAGGTTACTTCTTTTGGGACAGTCTCCTCCAAGCTGCTGCACTGAAGCCTTTCTCTCCATTTGTCCAAGCTGCCACACCTTCCATCTCTGGTCTCTCCAAACTGCCACACCTTCTCTTTCTGGGCTCTCATATTTAAATCCCTCAGAGTCCTAGACCACGCCCCGCAGAAGACAACTGTCAGCTGTGGACAAACTAAAGCCCAAACTAAAACCCCACGCTTAGGATTAAAACAAAAACGTATTTACATAACATAACTGAGTTTTTAAAGACACCAAAACTTCCATTACACACCAGCTCCTGCCTGTGTGCCCACACAGACAGAGAACTAGGCAGCAAAAGAAATCCCCATTACAGTCTGCGGACATGTCTGCTGCTTAGAACCACTGCGCCTCCAGCTTCCCCCTGGGGCAGAATCTTCCCTTCACAGTGGCCCAAGGGTGACAGATGACACCAAATGACAGGCAGCAAACCCACACCCTGCCTTGGCATATCCTGCACATCCCAATGCCGACGGTCACGGCAGCGAAGAAACTCAGTGGCCTCGAATCAGCAAGCACAACAGAGTACCTCACACGAGCGTACATCACACTCATGTATATATGTACTCACAACTCCGTGCAGCACACACTTATCTCTTCACAGCTCACCAATAGCTGAACTGTGCCACTGACCACCAGGACCTTGGAAAGGACCTCTGCTGGACTTAGCAGGAGACTGTAGGGACCAAAAGCTACAACTCCCAGTTTCCTCCTCTTTGGCACCACCTCCACCACCAAGCTCCAGGCCAGCTCTGAGGGGGAGGTGACAACATAGTCAACTTCTAGGCCTTGTGGAGAATCAGCTATAAAGAAACTGACGGGAGGGTTTGGGGAGATGGCTCGGCAGTGAAGAACATGTGCTGCTCTTGAAGAGAACCTGAGTTCAGTTCCCAGCACCAACATGAGTTCACACAGCTTGCAACTCCTGGGAGACTCCAACTCCCTCAAGACTCCAACTCCCTCTTCTGGACTTTGTGGGAACCACATGCACATAGTGCACATAAAAAAAGGAGCACATACATGTATACATTAATTAATTACACCTTAAAATTAGGAAATAATTTTTAAAATTTTAGAGGCCAAGCACAGACTTTGGAACATCACTAGTTTGAATCTTGTCTATCCATAGTAAGAAGAGAGATAACAAGCCAAGAGGTGTGATGGAGCCTTTAGTCAACACTCGAGAGGCAGAGGCAGGAGGATCGCTCTAAGTTCAAGGCCAGCCTGATCTACAGAACGACTTCTAAGACAGCCAACTCTACACAGGGAAACCCTGTCTTTGATGGGCACATATTAGCTTCTGGTAGTAGGCAGAAGCCATTCAGTATCCAACACAACTAAGCATAGCATTCAGGAGGCAAGGACCCAGCACCCACAGCCCAGTACAATTCACTTTAGGCTAGTCAATACCACCCCTTTAGGACCAAGACCTGGCTCATCAGTTCAGACGAATGAATGGATTCAGATGTGCCAGGCCAGAATCACAAACAGCAAAAGCCTCAGCTAAGTTCATAAGTCAAACTGGCTGAGAGCCCCTGTCCTGTGCCACCACCCCTCCTGAGAGGCTACAGGGACCCTCACTACCTCTGCTATGGCCCATTCTGGTGTCACCACTCATAGATGATGCTGGCCTGGTTCTTATGTCACACAGCTCTCTCTCTCTATCTATCTATCTATCTGTCTCGGGAGGAGGTCTGTCTGTCTGTCTGCTATCTCTCACTATCTCACTCTAAGTAATTTTCTCTACACAACATTTAGGATGAATTGTGCACACAGTATGCTTTATTCTTAAACACCTAAGCATGCATTTCCTGAAAGAATGACATCATTGTACATGTTCACAGCCCAGTCAAGAAACTAAGACAGATGCCACCCAATCTGCACGTTATATTACATAAAAGACAACCAGAATGGTCCTTATTGTAAACAAAAAGGAAAGGATGTAAGGGAGGAGGAGAGAAATCTGGCAGAGGGTCCAGTCCAGGACCACATGGGATATTGCCGTCACTTCTCTTTAGTTACCATTCTCCTAGAACTGTAATGTCCGTTATAGTAATGGCCTTTATATATTCTTTCCCATAGAATCTATATCACTAGATACATGTACCAAACAAGCACTTCAAATATTTAATAATGTGAATAGCTGAATTTCCCACTTAATTTTATTTTAATTCAGTTAAACTTAGAACCATGCATGGCTGAGAACTGTTGATATGGACCACATCAGTGTTCCTCATCTCCATCCTCTACAACCTGAAGGTTCTGAAGAACACCCAACACTAGAGGATTCCATTCCTTTGAAGGTCTTAGAGTCTAGACTCAGATACAGAAAGCATTTTGGGGAGAAAGGTGGCAGCATGGTGAAAAACTTTCCTGGTGGTAGATGGGTTAGGCACCCACACTGCTATACTATACATGCTTAAAGTACCAAGCTGAGAGGGCTGGAGAGATGGCTCAGAGGTTAAGAGCACTGGCTGCTCTTCCAAAGGTCCTGAGTTCTCAGCAACCACATGGTGGCTTGTAACCATCTATAGTGAGATCGGGTGCACTCTTCTGTCCTGTAGGCATATAAGCATGCAGAACACTGTATATCTAGATAGATAGATAGATAGACAGACAGACAGGCAGATGTGCCAAGCTGAATGGTCTGCAGGCATACAAGCAGGCAGAACACTGTATAAATAATATAAACAATATAAACAAATGAATAAATAAAAGCACAAAGCTGAATGCTTGGAAATGGGGAAGACAGAATTTGATACGGTGGCCTACTCCTACAGTAACAGAACCTTGGAGGCTGAGGCAGGAGGATAGCATGTTCTAGGCTGGCCTAGGCTATCTATCTAGCAAGACCTGGTCTCAAAACAAAGACAAAGAAATGGTTAAGATGATGCATGCTTACATATCACAATTAAAAGATTTAAAAAGAAGACATGGAGACAATGTGGCCCACAGACAGAAGGCCACCTATTGACAGAGGCTGCTGCAAGGCAGCAGCACCATCCTAGCAGCCACCGGAAGATTAAAGGGAGGCCAGGGGCTCATCTCCCTCAGAACCCAAGAGAAAACCATCACACCCAGCCTCTGTCCCAAGCCTCTGTCCCCCACCAGCAAGAGGGTACACTTCTGTCACTATAACCACAAGTCAGCAGACAAGCATACTTAGGCATGAAGCAACAGTGCACACACACAGCCCAGACTGGAAACTGGGGCGAGGGGAGTCTCTGCACCCTAGAGCCCACAACACCCCCTCCTGCTTCTGCCCTGTGGAGCACTGAGCTTCCAGCCTGGCTCAACTATTTTTTGCCCATGGCTCCTCTCTAATTTCCACTAAGCATTTATTTTAATTCTTCCCCAGCCTCCCATTTTGGAGTTAATTACACAGGTCCCAACCATAATCACGACCAGTGAGGCCAGGCTTCTTTTCAGGGCTCAGCACAGGCCAGTATCCTTTGTCCAGTGGCTCAGCCTCAGCCTGGACCCATCCCACTGCCACTCCCACCAGTGGCCACGTGGGCAGCCTAACCTCCGAGAGCCCCACCCCTGGAAAACAGCCACACAGGCAGAGGCTGGCTTCACAGACAGGGACAAAGGTCCCGGATGTGACATGAGGATCTACCATGAAACAGCATGCACACTGCCTTCCCTCCCTTCATGCAGAGCTCGCTGTGATCTGTTCCCACTTCGTCCTTATTTATTGCCATTGTCCTATGAGCTGTCTTATCTTACACAAAAGAAAATAGGCAATAAGTAAGCTAAGAACTTTGGCACACAAGCAGATGGCATCAAGGGCTACAAACAAGCCCATTATCTATCTGCTTGAGAGTGGAAGCCACTTGAGATGAAAGGGTTCTGCAGGGTGAAGGGTCACCTGCTCTTCATACCTACCAGCGACACCCTTAACTCCTTCCCTCTCTCTACACAGTTAGGGAAACTGAGGCCCAGGGTGGCAGGGATGTGGGGAGGAATACCCGGCTGGGAGGTATCATGAAAGAAGGACTAGACCGCAGTCAGCCTCTTTTTCCCATGGAGGCAGGGCAGCAGGCAGCTGTTTGCACAGCTTAGACCCCTACTTCCCCCACTGCCCCGGCCAGAACCAGGAGGGCATGAGGCCAAGACCCTGTCAGTTGGAGCCACTCACTCCCATACTGCAGAGACTGGCTCAGATTCTAGACAGTCCTGAAGGCTGGAGGTGAGAGAAAGATAAGAGGGCTGGGGCTGCCTCAAGCCAGTCTCAGCACAGCCTGAGGGAGTAGAGCTGAGTGAGGCCCCGTCAGATGACAACATGGAGGCAGACCTTCCCTCTTCTTGGCCATGGAACACCTAATAGCCAGCCCATCCTTGCTGTATAAGGGGTACACAGCATTTTCACACTGACCTGGCTTGGCCCTTAGGACCTACACAGGGCAGTCAGGGACCTCAAAGTATCCTGAAGCAACACACTCAAGCTCAGGGAAAGAATGGTGAGTGCCCACGTGAAAAACAGGGCAAGGGGTAGCAAGCAGCGGGCCATTGTGTTTGTTTAAAACACTAAGAGATGGCCCGGGCCAGCCCCTCCTGTTGTCCTTGGCCTTCCCTGGGCTCTACTTCTTGGCCAAACAACCCTGCTTAGTGAGGCCTTGGTAGGGTGTGCCCAGAGTAGACTGCACTGGAAAGAAACATCAGCAGCTCCTCTCACTGATCACCAGCAACCCGGACGATCTAATCAGGCTGAAATCACATTAGCAACAGGACAGTCTCCGAGCCCAGCTACCCACACACCTCCCCAGGCTCAGTGGGACAAGAAACCTGAATGCTGCTCACTGTCACCTCTGTCATCTG